CTACTTTTAAAATAAATTTAAGTTGACTTCGGTAAACATTTTGGGTAAATGGACCCGGACCTATGATTTGACGGTCCTATAGGGTCCGTAGGAAAATATGGGACTTGGGTGTATACCTGAAATTAAATTCCGAGGTCCCAAGCCCGAGAAATGAGTTTTTGAAGAAAATTATTTAACAATTTTTTTTAGAGTTTTTGGAAAGTTGAATGTAATTGAAATTGATGGTATCGGGCTCGTATCTTGGTTTTGAAGCCCGGTACAAGTCTTATATGGTGTTTAGATTGAGACTGCAAAATTTGATTAGAAACGGACTTGAAATGATGTGAATTGGACCCTCGGTTGTGAAATTTGAAACTTATGCGTTCTTGAGATTTTTCTTTGATGTTGATGCTAAATTCTTTGTTAAAGATGTTAATTTGGCGATTTGACCGCACGAGTAAGTCCATATGATGTTTTTGAGTTAGTATGCATGTTTGGTTTGGAGCCCCGAGGGCTCGGGTCAATTTTGTATAGGTTTCAGGATGTTTTTTACACTTAGAAAAGTTGTAGGTTTTCAGTTTGTGGTATTCTGGAGTTTTGTTCTTCGTGTTCGCAGAAGGACTCTCGCGAACGCGAAGGGTAAGTCAGGTTGAAGGACAATTCCTTCTACGCAAACGCGAGAAATAGGATGCGAACACGAAGCCTTGGGGGTGCTACCATTCGCGAACGCGGACCTGCTATCGCGAACGAGAAGGCCTTTTGGCCGGGAAAGGGGGAAAGGGATTTTTGTTTTACGCGAACGCGGCCACTGGCCCGCAAACGCGATGGATTGAGGAGCTAAAGCTCCGCGAACGCAAGCCACTAAACGCGAAGGCAACTGGGCCTGACCCTTCGCGAACGCGAATAAGGCATGTCCAGTGAATTAAAAACAGTAGAAAATCGGGATTGAGTCCATAACTTCATATTTTCAAAACTAGAGAGCATTGAGGCGATTTTGAAAGAACAAGTTCTTCGTCAAAGCATTGGTATATGATTCTAAACCTTTTTCTTTCGATGTCCCATTGCATTTCATCAATTTTCATCCAAAAATCTAGGGTTTTTATGGTAGAAATTAGGAATTTGGGTAGAGTTAGGGCTTTTTGAATAATTGGAATATAGACCTCATTTTGGGGTTGGATTTCGAAACTAATTGCATATTTGGGCTCGTGGGTAAATGGGTGATCGTGTTTTTGTCTGAACCTCGAGTTTCGACCAAGCGGGCTCAGGGTCAATTTTTGACTTTTTGGGAAAAATGATAGAAAACCTATAATTAAGCATTGAGTATGAATTCTTTAGAATTTATTGATATTGTTAAATTAATTTGGGCTAGATATAAGTAATTTGATGGCGAATTCTAAAGGAAAAGCGGTGTTTGAGGCTTGAGTTGGCCGTGGAAGTTTGAGGTAAGTGTTTGGTCTAACCTTAGCTTAAGGGATTAGGAGTTGTATTTTATTTGCTATGTATTAATTGTGGAGTACGACGTATAGGCATGGTGACGAGTATCTATACGTCGGTATCAAGTATGCCTGTGAGTCTCGTATTGTAATTGTTGTGACTCCGTTGTGATTTGTTCATGCTTAATATGTTGATTATCATTGTTGGTTACCTTGTCGGGATGTTATTGTTATGACATTGTCTCCCTTGCCGGGATGTTATTGTTTATTATATCGTCTTCCTTGCCGAGATATTGTTGCCGTACTCATGTGCCCTTGCCGGGATTCTTTGTGATTGATGTTGATATGAAATTGGAGTGGATGGCATGCCGCCACTGTGATATTTGAAATGGGATCGGGTTGCATGCCTTCACCGAAATATATGAAATGAGATCGGGTTGCACGCCTGCAACAAAATATATGAAATGAGATCGGGTGGCACGCCGCCACAGTAATATTTGAAATGGGATCAGATTGCATGCCTGCAACAAGAAAGAGATAAAAGGGATTACTGTGTTTGTTTTCTTATTCTTGTTAGTAATTGCATTTTTGGTTTCCTTACACTCCTCTTTGGTCTTATGTTATTATCTTATACTCCCAGCAGCATGTTCTTCCCCCTCCCATCTTTACTGTGAATATCTGCTTTTATTTTCCGCTATATATAATTTAACTACACAAATTTATTTGGAAGTCTGGTCCTAGCCTCGTCACTACTTCGCCGAGGTTAGGCTAGGCACTTACCAGCACATGGGGTCGGTTGTGTTGATACTACACTCTGCACACAGTGCAGATACTGGTACCGGAGCGTTTGGACCGTAGTAAGGTTACTTCCTTCAGTCCAACAGGCGACCCGAGGTAGTCCTGCAGGCGTCCGCGGGCCTTGGCGTCTCCTTCTATCATTTCTTTTCTGTTTTTACTTATTCAGAGACAAATACGAGTATTTCTATTCAGACTTTATTTGTAGTATTCTTAGATAGTGTGTGAAATTGTGACACCAAATTCTGGATAGAGTTGTATTTAGACTTCCTCAGTTTGTATTAAGTTAAATTATCAGATTTCATCTTCCGCTTTGTTATTGATATTATTATTTCCGTTGTTTTGATATGTTGTTTTGAAATTATAAGGACTTAAAGACTTGAAAAGGGTAACTAAATCGGAATAGTTGGCTTGCCTAGTTTTCACTAGTAGGCGTCATCACGACTCTCGAGGATGTAAAATCCGGGTCGTGACAATACTAAAGTTTGGTTGCCTAGCAAATGAACATTAGGTGCCATCACAACCCTAGGTGCCATCACAACCCCCGAGGTTGGAATTTCGGATCCTGACAATAGTTAAATCTAGTGATCCAATTTTTTTATCTTCCCTCTTTGGACTTCAAGTACTACTTCTCATTATCTAAATTATTTGCTGATGCTTCCTAATCTCTAGCTAATCCCATTAATCGTTGTAGAGTCGGAGACGAAGTTATTCCTGGGAAATCTTTCCTATTCAAATTTAGATTGACCAGCAGACCCCGTCCTCCCATGTGTAATTAACTAATGGTATAATTACTAGGGTAATAATTACATAACATAGTAATTATATAGTATAGTATTTCTTTCCCATAATGTAATTATAGTATAATTTCTAAACTTACATCGGGTTTTAAAGTTGATATATGAATTTTTGATTTTTTCTATTTTAGCATCTCAACTCAATTGATTATTTATAAGTGAACACCTCTAACTTTTGACTATGCTTATGTAGCAGTAGCACTGCTGACGTGGTCAAAGTGCGTGCTAATCACGCAGAAAAAGTGCATCATTCATTGTATTTAAAAATATTGAATAAGAAAAAGGAAAAGTAAATAAAAGAAAAACAAATAAAAAATTTGGCGGATTGATCAAAGAAAAACAAATAAGAAATTATCAGATTTCATCTGAATTGATCAGATTTGATTTTCACTACTGGAAATAGTGGCTGGTCAAGGGAAGGTTTTGGCGGAGAAAGGTAAGAGAATAAAAATTATAAATTTGTTAAGTGGTTTTAAAAAGGATGGGGCCCAAATATTACAAATGTCAAACAATAAATTATCTTCGTATTTGACGTGGTATTTATATCAAATAATTGAGATACACGCTCCGAGGGAGAGATTTATTATAAATATTTTTATTGAGTTGAGGTACTAAAATGGGAAAATCAAAAGCTCATATATCTGCTTTAAAATGTGGTACAAGTTTAAGTGGCTTAGAGGCCGTTACACCTATTTTAAAAGTTATGTGTTTATATCTATTATTTATTGTAATTTCTGTGAAGTTTTACACATAAATTTATATTGCACTTGAAAAAAATACTGCGTTCAGGTAAACCTGCAACCCGAAAGCTGCGTCTGCCCCTGCTTAAGAGTGAATCGTACAACTATTATGGTACATGGATCCTTTAGAACTACGTACTACTCAAAATTCAGAAATCCCACATGGTGTTGGAGCCAAGGAAAAGGGGCGGAGGCACTTACTGCACAGTGATAGGAAATGATTGATATATGTAAACACAATAGCAATAAGGTTAATTGTGCATAAAATTATGAATGTGATACTCCCCCGTTACAATAAAGGCGAGGTTCATGAAATTCTTGGGACCCTTCGTCTTTTTTCAAAATATTTTTCTGACAATGCTATATCTAGACATTGTGAGTATGGATTGACTAAATGTCTTAATCAAATATTTTCTTTTAGCGTTGGTGGAATTGGGAAGAGGATTTGTTCTATATTTATCCCCAAAACCACCCACAAAATACAAAATATAGTGTATGTGGATATTCCTCAGAACACTCGAGGGTTATCCTTTTGAAATGATTTTAATTTAGCACTTTACTTTTACCTTGACAACTAGAGATAGAAACTGCCTTATCATCAAATATTTGCAGCATACAACAACACATCCACTATAGTTTCACAAGCAGATTTGAAAAGGATAATGTGTACGCAAACCCTATCCCTCGCTTGTTAAGATAAAGAGGCTAGTCCCTTCTAAATTATTTCAAATCTTTTTCTATTTCGAGGTAAGATTGAGTAGATTTGTTGCAAGTGGTATGATTTCATACGATATCAGTTTTGAAATCAAGTTTAAGCCTTAACTATTCTAGTGGTTTTTAATTAAAGAAAGAAAATCTTCTTGGATACATCATGAAAGTCTGTGTTAACCACCGCCCTCTTTGTTTTAATTTATGTATCTTATTTTGACTCGGCAGTTTAATAAAGAAAGAAAGTTTTTATTTTGAAATTTATAGTGTTAAGTATGTCATAATATTTGTGTGACTAAATTTTTTTAAAGCTTGTGAGCTTAAACATATTACGATATTTGTGTGGCTAAACTTTTTATTAAGATCATACAGTAAAATGAAAAGTTCAATTTTTAATTGCTTTCAAATAAAAAAGTGTGTTATTTTTTCTAAAGCTGACTTATGAGGAAATAGTGATATATATATTGGGAGTGTAAAGCCTAGTTTAATTTTTTTCAGTCTCTCGCTTGATCCCTTTAATGACGACGCCAAAATGAAGAAAATTCTTTCAAAAGAAACGGAATAAAATTTAATTTCTTTGTACACTTGCAAGACTAATTTATCATTTGAAGACTACACTGTCGTTGGCCTCATGCTACCTCTAGCTCGCTAAAACTCTCCCAACAAGGAAAAAAAAACAACTAAACAATTAACTAAAAACCTAAGCTTCTAATTGAGTGTGTGATACATATCAATCAATATTACTCCTATTTTTCTACCTAAATTTGATTGTTAGACACCACACCTTCACGTTGGAGAGGTTCAATTCTTATAATAATTTCTTGGACTGGTACTGTTGATGAGGTATTGCTAACTATATGAGGGTTTGCAATTGACCTTGTAGTAGAAGAACTACCACCATTAACAATTTTTTGACAAGTTTCAATTAGGTAATGCCTACAAGTAGGGCAAGAAGAGTGTGAATTTAGCCATTTATCGATACATCGGACGTGGAACCCATGGTTGCACTTAGGCAAAACCCTAACTTTCTCTCCAGCAACAAAATCTGATAAGCAAATTACACACTCAGTGTCAACCCCTGGATGTTTCAGTTCGGTAGTGTAAGTTATAACTAGGAATGTCTTGAGGGCTTTTTTCTTGATTCCGGTATTAGCTAGCTTTGATGCTGAAGGATTTCTATAGTTTGAGGATGAGTTTGACGCTGATACCAAGTTGGAGCATCTTAATGCACGCTTTATGATAGAATTCAAGGCAAGTAAACAAATCAAGGCACATACAAGTACTGACAAGACCATAATAACATTTGCATCAAATGTGTTGACGTGGCTGATTTCGGCCGCCGGTGGCGGTGCCATGGTGGCCTCGGGGTGGTATTGTAGTTGGTATTAGAAGTAGTCTTCTTGACTAGTGGAAGTTCTCAGCAAATTCTTGAATGAATAGAGTGGAAGTAGTTGCCATATAGAGCTTTTGGTTGGAAGTGTGTATTTGTGTTTTTCTCTGAATTCTTTCTTTGTTTGTAGTTGTTGAATGAATTGAAATTTCCCTTGGAGGAGTTCCTTATAAAGGAGAAATTTAAAGGGTGAATAGGTGTAAAGTGTGATCAAAGGATATATTATTTTATTTTCTTTAAGGAATATTTCAAAGTTTCAATCCATATTTTTTTAATTAATGGAGTAACTATGTTTCCAAGCACTACAGCTTTTAAGAGTATGTTATAAACAAGTGGAGCCCGTATAACTTTTTAGAAGTACATCCACTCCTCTTTGGAAAAGAGACATTGTTTTGACAAGGTAACAGTGAACTTTCCATTCACAACTACAAAAATTAGTAGTATTCGTTTGATATAATTTACACCTTCGCTGTACGTATACACAACTAAATTTTAATTATAGATTATAATCATTTTAGTTAGAACTTAGAACTTCTAGATTGGTAATTGAGCTTTGGAGCTTGTCCAAAAGTGGAGGGCATAAGGAACTTCCTGGTTCTTTTTTAAAAAAAAAAAAGTAATTTCGTGGCAAAATCCTTTCTTATATCATTCAAAGAGACCTTCAAGGAACATACATGTCTGGATTAAAACAATTCCGAAACATCTATTTATCTTCTATCACTATATAAGATTACAACAAGGAAGTTGCGATCCATGGTTTATATATGTACTTTATTGGGAGCTTTGCTTGCCTGCTTTTTGGTATCATTATTTATTTTTATCTAGAACAATATCATCTTTGGGATTAAGATATTACTGCAGAAAATCACATAAACACAGAGTCTACGCAATAGAATATTGATAGGAACGTACCTTCAGCCATTATTATTCAAGCATTGTAGAAAATCGCCTTAGGAAAACTTCGAAGAAAGCCTACTAGCCTACTAGCCTATGCTTATCGTAGGATGCCACACTGATAGAGTCACAAGCGTATTTATAGGTAGGCTAAGGGCTCTTAGGCAAATACTTTTGCTGTAGGAACTTTTCCATAAAATACGATTGCCTTAGGGACTCATAATTAATAGTTTCCTTCTATCAAGGAAACTTCTAGATATGCATAACCATAAGAATATTATCTAATAATGTAATTACTTGGGAGACAAGGTAATTAAATTAATTACCATAATATGTGAGCCACAAAAGTCTCATTAAAGAGACGTATGATTCTTACATTCTCCCACTTGGTTCACATATTATAATCAGGTTATCCTTTATGAGTGATAATTATAACAATATGGCCATAGACTTTATTACTCTACTAAAAGTTATGCAACAATCACTTTAATTAGAATATATCATTACATGAATCATGGCGGTCATACTCTTAAACAAATAATTCCTTCCATGTATTACAATGTACAATATGTTCTAACAAAGTGTCAACAACTTTATGAATGAACTTAATATAGTCATTCAGAGTCCAAATTTATTGATCCAATGATCACAAAATAATACATAAAAAACTAAGTGTGCACTATCATGTATATCAAAATAAACATAATATTTAGATAAACTGTTAGAGAGCAAAGCAAGACTACATTGAGCTACTAAGCCCCATATAAGTTACATGATCCTTGAAAATATTAGCCGGTAGACCTTTAGTCATAGGATCAACAATCATCAAAGTAGTTAGTACTAACATGCTCAAAATTCACATCTTGCTTCTTCACATAGTCTCTAACTATCAATTACTTTATGTCGATGTACTTGCTTCGGCTGCCACTTTTATTGTTCTTAAAGAAAAACACTGCAGCTGAATTGTCACAAAAGATTCACAATGGCCTTGAAATGGAATCGACAATCCTAAAGCCGGAAATAAAGTTCTTCAACCATAACGTCTGTGATGTAGCTTCATAGCATATTATAAATTCAGCTTCCATAGTTGATGTTGCAACAATTGTCTGCTTGATACTTCTCCAAGTCACAACATCTCTAGCAAGAAGGAAATGTATCCTGAAGTAGAATTACCATTGTCTTTGCATCCACCCAAAACAGAGTCGGAATATCCAATCACTTCCAATGAGTCAGAGTATTTGTATGTGAGCTTAAAATTGTTGGTTCCTTGAAAATATCTCAAAACCTTTTACCCGCTTTCCAATGGTCAAGACCAGAGTTACTTTGATATCTGCCAAGAATTCCTATCGCAAAAGCAATATTAGGTCTAGTATATACATGTGCATACAGAAGGCTCCCAACAAGCGAAGCACAGGGAATGTCTTTCATTTTCTCCTTTTCCAATGCATTTTGTGGACATTGATTCAATAAGAATTTGTCACCTTTAATTATGGGTGCTGCTATAGGTGAACAATTCTTCATCCCAAATCTTTCCAGAATTCTTTCAATGTAGGCCCTTTGAGACAGTCCAAGTAATCTTTGGGATCTATCTCTATGAATCTCTATGCCAATGACATAAGAGGCGTCTATCCTTCATCTGAAAATTCTGGATAAGAAACTGTTTAGTCTCGTGCAACAACCCCAAATCACCACTTACAAGCAAAATATCATCCACATATAGTACTAGAAAAATATATATTCTCCCACTTATCTTAAGGTATATACATTGATCAATGATGTTCTCCATAAATCCAAATCAAGAAACAACATTATGAAATTTAATATACCATTGGCGGGAAGCCTGCTTTAGCACATAAATGGATTTATTCAACTAGCAATTAAGGTGACTTTTGTTCTTATCACAAAATCCTTTAGGCTGACGCATTTATACCTCCTCTTCAAGATCTCTATTCAGGAGAGTTGTTTTCATATCCATTTGAGGCAACTCTAAATCAAAATGAGCTACTAATGCAATGATTATTCTCAATGAATCATTCTTTGATACCGGAGAGAAGGTTTCATGATAATCAATGCCTTCCATTTGAGTAAAATTCTTGGCTACAAGTCCGGCTTTATATCTTTCAATATTACCAGATGAGTCTCTTTTAGTTTTAAAGACCCATTTGGAACCTATAGTAGAGGATCTTTTTGGTAATTCGATGAGATCCTAGACTTTATATTTAACCATATATTCTAATTCTTATTTCATGGCATCATATCAAAGTGTGGAGTTTTATCCTCTCATGACTTGTGAAAACGAGTATGGATCATTTTTTAGTTCAATATTATAATCAGACTCTTGGAGATATACAACATAGTTACAAGAAATTGCTGATTTTCGAACTCTTGAAGATTTTCTTACTCCTACCGGTTCAGACACTAGTGGGTTTAGGTAAATCGGGTTGATCTTCATGTTTCTCCTCAAGTGGTGGTGGATCTTGAACTTCTTCTTGTTCAGATAATTCATGAGAATTTTTATGAGCAACATTCAAGTTTCCAATATATAAAGGTAGCACAGGTAGTTCCCTTATTTCTTCAAATTCTACCCTTTGAGTCAAAACACTCCCTCTTTCTTTATACTCCTCAAGAAATTTAGTATTTCTAAGCTCAACAATTTTAGGAGAATGAGAAGGACAACAAAACCTAAATCCTTCAGAGTTAATTGCATAGCCTATAAAATAACCGCTTATTGTTCTTTCATCAAACTTCTTTAGTTGTGGGTTATAAACCCTCACTTCAATTGGACATTCCCAAACATGAAAATAATTTAAACTAAGTTTTCATCCTTTCCCTAACTCAAAAGGTGTCTTGGGGACAGCCTTGGGTGGAACCCAATTTAAAATATACACATCAATTTTTATGTCTTCACTCTATAAGGTTAAAGCTAAATTTGATCTGCTAATCATACTTCTTTCCATGTCCATTAATGTCTGATTCCTTCGTTCTGCCACACCATTTTGTTGTGGTATTCCTGGTATGGTATATTGCACAATTATACCTTCACTTTCAAGGAACTCAGCAAATGGACGCTTAACGTGTCCCTTATCTGTGTACCTACCATAATATTTTCTATCCCTATCAAATCTTACAATTTTGATCCGAGCACCTATTTGTTTCTCTACTTCTGCTTTGTAAACTTTAAAAGCATCAAGTGCTTCTTATTTGTAAAACAGAAAATATATATATATCTTGAATAGTCATCAATAAATGAGATAAAATATCTCTCACCATTCAAGAAAGGGGTAGAAAAAGGTCCATATATATATATATCTTGAATAGTCATCAATAAATGAGATAAAATATCTCTCACCATTCAAGAAAGGGGTAGAAAAAGGTCCATATATATATATATATATATGTATGTATGATTTCAAGCAATTGAGAACTCTTTTTGGTACCTTTAGTTGTTGGTCTGCTTGCCCTTTATGCAGTCCACACAAGTACCAAAGTTAGAAAAATCAAGAGTTTTTAGAACTCCATCATTAACCAACCTTTTGACTCTATCAATAGAGATATGTCCCAATCTCTTGTGCCAAAGACTTAATGAGTTCTCATTGATAATACATCGCTTAGTGCCAATTTTTTTAATCATGTAAAGTTAAAATATTGCATTCAAATGTGGGGTCTAGCTCAAGAATATATAAATTTCCACTTAAATTTACAAAAGCAATAACTTTATTGTCTTTCAAAAGTTTCACAAAAAGATAATGAAAATTCAAATCATATATAGTAATTGATAGTCTAGAAAGAGAAATTAAATTTCTAGAATATTCTGGAACATAAAAAGTATTTTCCAAATCTAAGTGAAATCATCCTTCACATGCCTATAAATCCCCACACTTTCTACACATGAACGCGTCATATTGCTAGAATAGACGTATTGTTCACTGCCTATCGGCTTCCTCTGAGTTAGAAAGCCCTACATGATATTGGCAATGTGAATTGTAGCACCAGAATCAATCTACCATGTATTATCAAAAACTTCAGTAAAATTAGATTCATAACATACAATGGTAAAATTACCTTTCTTCTCAAGTCATTTCTTGTATTTCAGGCAATCTTTCTTCCAATGTCCCTTCTTCTTACAGAAATGGCAAGCATCTTTGTCAAAGGTGCTTTTCTTCTTCTTGGGAACACTTTTGGCATTCTTTGCATTACTCTTATTATGAGTCACCAAATGAATACTCTCAGGTGTCTCGTGCTTCAACCTCTCTTCTTCTTGAACATATATAGTCAAGAGTTCATTGATTGACCTTTTATCTTTATAAGTGTTGTAAGAAATCTTAAACGGACCATATTTCGCAAGAAGAGAATAGAGAATGAAATGCACAAGAAATGGTTTAGACATATCAACCTAAATGGACTTGAGTTTAGCAGCAATGTCTCTAATCTCTATAATGTGCTCACGTACTATACGACTTCTGTCGAAAGTCATACTTGAGAGCCTTTTCAAAAGGGCTGGCATTGTCAGAGCTTACGAATTGTTCATCAATTGACTTCATATAAGCTATGACCTTATTGTTATTAGGGATAGAATCCCTAATACTTTGGCTTATGTGGGCTTTTATGAGTATTAAACTTAAGCGATTAGATTGCTCCCACTGCTCATAATTAGACTTAGCCACTGACGTACTTGATTCCGTGAGAATAGGTGGTTCTTCCACACGGAGTGCCAGGTCCAGATCCGAGCATCCTAAAGTGGGAAGGACTTTCTTCTTCCATTCAGTATAATTATCACCAGAAAGCATTGGAATTCGAGCATTCTCATTAAAAATAATTGTAGGAAAAGCTGTAAAGACTGTAAAATGTCACACCTTCTTTTACCACCCGAGGGGGTATATAAGGGTGTTTTTTCAATTAAAGTGACAATATAATGAGATTATTTTATTTATTTACTTCAGAGTCTCCACTTGGAATAATTTATGGTGTCCCAAGTAACCAGTTTATTTAAATCCCAAATCGAGGAAAATCGACTTTATTTAAAAGTATGCGAAACTAGAAATTCTATGTAAGGAATTTTGTTAACCCGGAAGAAGGTGTTAGGCAGTCTCAGGTTCCGTGGTTCGAGCATTGTCACTTACCTATTAACAATTGGCCTAATTATCTGATTTATCACATGTTTTAAACCTATTGTGCATTTTTAACTTTATAACCATTTTTAATTATTTTGATCGCTTTTTAAGATTTATGGAATTATTTCTTGAACAAGTTATGATTGTCGTACACTTGCCGTTTTGGAACACACCGCGAACCACGCTACATGAAATGAACCCGCGATTTGCGATATGTTTATTTTATTATTAATATTCAAAGTTGTTATGATCGGGTCACATGAAATGCACACCCGATTTTGGAAATTATGCATCATAACTATGTCATGGGAACCGTACCCATAATCACGATGGTTTATTTAAGCGCGTCTAAATCAAGCTACGATATTTTATAACTAATTATTTCCCTATGTTGGAGATGAAACGTGAAGGTCATCATTTATTTTGTGCAAGGAATTGGAATGAATTTTTTACCAACTAAAGTTTGTGAGCCATTTACAGAATTGAAAGTCTACTTGGTATTAATTACTGCAAAGGGCGAGGAGATAGAGATAACTAAATTGTGGTTTAAAGGTTTGTTTCATGCTTCATCTGTATTTGCTTAAGGTCACACTAGGTGACATGACATTATCACGTGAATTTAATTAAAGGGCTAACATTAAGACCTCCAACAGGTCTTGTGTGACTACAGGTGGGCTTAGATTGAAGCACAATTTTGTATGGCTTAATAAGGATAATGGGTTCGATGTCCAATGGAGTCCAAACCCTATGGGCAGGCCCACCAATATAAAGTCGTGACCTCAATTACGATATATGGCCGGACAAACAATTGCAGAGAAGTTGACTTTCAGAGCAAATTAACATTCATAATGAAATTCAAATTTAATTATATGAATAGAAAAGTTAATGATGACAAACATCAATAACAAAGGTTTGCATTTAAACTTCAAAACGAGCCAAGTTTCAAAATTTACAACTATAACTCATTTAATAACATCTCGTAATGGGTGTGCATGAAACAAACATTTTTTTATAAAAGAAACAATCATCCACATTAATATTCAAACCTAAACATAAAAGAAACATGAATTTTTCATTCAAGATTTCAACCAATTTATGAAGAAATAGTATAGATTCAAAATGTGTACCTATAATTACTTCGACAAATAAACCTTGAAACAGCCGATTGAGTGGCAGAAATAGCGCTGAAGGGGATTCAGCTGCGATTTTTGAGAGCAAACAGCAGAGACAGTAGTGCAACAACAACGCAAATCAGCGGACAACGAGCGACAATTCCACGGCTCCAAAATATCTTTCAGACACCCGAAAAAGAAAGAAATGATGCTTTAAAATCAGTTCTTCTTCACCTTTTCTTCTTCTTTCTTCTTCAAATTTGCAGAAAACATTGCTTTTGTTTTTTTTTCTTTTAGCTCTTGTTTTTCGAATGCTTGTGGGAATCTGTTGGATGAGTTTTTATGTGCGTGAGGGTAGGGGTGTGTATGAGTGAGAGGGTGAAGAGAGGGTAGAGGAGTGACGTTTGTTCTCTTGGAAGAACAGGGTATGTTCTTGGTTTTTGATGGAAATGGAGAAGAAGCCTTCTCTCAGATGCGTCGTTCTGTCTAGGTTGGGAGTGAGAATGTCTTTATGTCTAGCTCTTTTAAATGTGTGTTAGGTCTAGGGATTTAAGGGAAAAAAGATGGGGAAAAGGAAGATTGGGCTAGGGTTTAAAAGTTAATTTGGGCCATTTTAGGAATTTGCCCTATTTTAAAAGAAACAAGACCAGAAATATATTCTTCCTATTTTCATTTTCTTTGTTTTTTCCTTTTTCTTTTTCTTTAATTAATAAAAATTTTGAATCAATCTATTTTTGTAAAAATTAAAATTCTTTGTCTATTTTTAACATTAAAACAACTAATTAACTTAAAACTAAGGAAAAATACTAATTTTAAAGGCCAAAATCTAAATATGTAAAAATAACTATGTTTTATAATTTTTGCTTAATAAAATAATTCCTACATGCAAATTGAACCTAAGATGTTATGAAATTAAAACTTGATAATTTTTATGATTTTAAAATATTAAAAATGCATGAAATGCAACTAAATAAAGAAAAAAATTCTAAAAATTAATTAAAATTATTTTGGTCTATTTTTAGGAGTTATTTTCATGTAGTGCAAAAATTAGGTGCTCACAGTTGCCCCTCTTTGCTCGGAAATATGAAGAGCTTTTAGGCAAAGATAAAGTGAGCAATTACGAGTAATTTTTGCCCGTTTGAAATTCCATTTGGAAGCATTTTGAAAAAGTTTGACCGAACCTTGCTTCAGAGGTTGCCTACATATCCTTGGCTATGAAAGAATCAGATCGGTGTAGTTCTGGAAGTTTTGATAGCTGGGGACTGCCGAGAAACTGTGATTTCACTGTTGTTGCTGCTTGCTGAGCTCCTTATTGTAAGCACGTGATTTTTGCTTCACGGACAATCGCTCCAAAAGAAAACCAAAAATAGTGACAAATGACTCCGCTGTACAATTTTTCGATTTTTTCGTGGTATGTGCTGTTAGTCATTTGTGGTTCGGTCCATGTTGCATTTGATCTTATCAATCAAAATAGAACTTATGTCTGTCATGGTAATCAAACCGTAATTCGGTCGTTGAAAAAAAAATCAAAAAAAAAAGTATATATATGCATCGTTCGTCCTAGGTTGTGATTTAACTTACTTAAACATTTTTAATTTGGTGTAATAATTGTGTTGAAGTGTTACATTGTGTTTATTTTAATTTCATTTTTCATTATTATTTCGTTTTTGTTTTAAAATTAGGAAAAAAATAAAAGAAAAGAAGTGATGAAAATCGGTTTGGGCCCAAGAAATAAAACACAAATAGGCCCAAAAACCGGCACACAAGTCCAGTCCAAGTCCGGCCTGCCTAAACACTAATTCAAACGACGCCGTATCAGCGTCCTTATTGGAGCCGTTGATTTGATTCAAACAAACGGTCCTGATCAGGTTGATCACTTCACCTCAACGACGCCGTTTCAGGCAAATTAATCTGAACCGTCCAACCCTTTGATCCAACGGACCTAGGCCTTCCCCCTAAACCCGTCAAACTTTGACCCGATCCAGCCTTACCCGGNACACCTCACTGTCCTGAACATGGATCGGCTATCCATTTGCCTCGAATCACCTTCCTTCATCTCGAATCTTCATTTGAAGATTCGAGTCAAACTCTGACCAATACCAAACCTCACCATCTTCGCACCAGACAGTCCCCGAACCTCCCTCATGACCAAACCGTGTTTGGTTTGGTCCGAATCTAATCAGGGAAACACGAATCCCAGATCTGATTTTTTTGAACCCTAGGTTTCCTCGTGTCTGTTCCGTGCCTGTTTAAACCAAGAGATTAGGTTTAAACCTCGTGCATGTTCCGTGCCTGTTTAAACCAAGAGATTAGGGTCTAATGGACCTTAATTGAAGTGTTTCTCCTTTGAGAAACACTTCGATTAAAGTCCGTTCAACCTTGTGAAGGGTCTGTTCGAATCCAAGCTAAGACTTTTGATTTAAGGTGAGTTTGTTCTCCTTCTCTTTTATTCAGTACGTGTGTGGTTTAAAGGTCTGTTCGTATGACCAAATGTTTTGTGTAATTTGTGTTTTTTTTGAATTTTTATCAACTGTTGATTGTCCACCTTGCCTGTACCCCTCTGTATTTGGTCAAATGTTTCCTCATTCACCGATAATGTGTGTGTATGTAAAACTGCATAATCGACTGAATTGAAATTGTTTGATTAATCAATCCCCAAGTTAACCTCTGTGTTGCCAGTGCAATTTGAACTCTTGGTGCTACACTGTTCGATTCTAATCCTTGGTTTTGATTGTATGTATTACCATTAGTATAGTCGAGTCGATATACGTCGTCAATTAGTTCAGTTTGGAATCTGATCTTTGTCATTGGTTGGCCTGCTGAGATTTTGTTGAATTCAATTAGGAACTGAGTGTGTTGCCTGAGATTTGTTCGAATTGAATCAAAAACATTTGAGGGTGTGTTATAGTTGCAGTCCAGGCAGTTTTTTTTATGGATAACATGCTCTCTTGGCTTAGACTGTGGGCAGCATATGTATGGTTAGCTTTAAGGAATTAAAATAATTGGACAGCATGTGCTGTCAGATTATATTCCTGCTGCCCATACTTTGGCTAAATAAATAAGGGATTAGGACACTTTAACAACAAAAAATAGAGAGGGGCTGTCAGGGATCTCATGGGAGTTTTTGTTATTTAAAATAACTGAGTGGAAAAACAATAGGGGGAGGAATTTTGAGCTGTCACACAGACTGTAAAGTGCTGAATTCAGGCTATAAAAGAGACAGACCTTCCATTTAGAAGGGGGATTTTTTTTTTGGAGAGATTTGTGGAGCCTGTGGAAAGGATTTTCTTAAAGGCTGGACATTTTTAGTCTTCAGGAAAAAATAAGAAACAAAAAGTCTCAGAATATCGTAACCAAACACTGTCTGAAAATTACATAAGAGTTCATGTTGGTCTAGTTTTTTTTTGGCCGATTGATGTTGGTTGCCTGTTGAGCTGCTTGTGATTGTTGAATTGCTGTTGTGGTTACATTGAATACTCTGTTGTTTCTGTTGGTTCATTACTCTGTTTCTGGGATTGTTTGTTTGTGGCTCGACTGCTCGTGAGCTTCATCATTGTTGGCTGGTTGTTGTTGCTGTATATCTGCTGTTGCTGTGTTTGTTGCATACTACTCAGCTGATCATTCCTTTCTTGTACACGATTAGAACATTGTCAATGTAACTTGAAGGTTGAGCATGAATACAAAAGAGAAGATCTGAAGATTTTTTTTATAGACTGTTATATTAAACCTCATGTAATGCATGATAGTTTGCAGTGTTGTTTGGATACTGAAGATAGTTTGCATGCCTAGTAGATATCAATTGTAGGGTAATTAAACGTTAGTTTATATATGCAGGCTGGTAGATAAAAGTATTCCCAATGCAGTAGGTTGAATCTTAGATTTGGTTTAATTGTGTGGTATATTCTATAATGTATGCCAAGCATGAAAACTGTACATTATTAGCTGAGCTCTTTCTCTTCTGATAAATTGTCTCATATAACTGGTAAA